TCCGTTCTTCTTTCTTTTTCGGTGTACAGTGGCAGTCAGGGCATCTTCTTGTCGTTGTGCAACTCACAATTCGTGCTGACCATTCCCCTTCCGTTTACTGTCATGAAAAGAAAAGAGACGCAAAAAATTTTGCTTCATTAATAAACAGCTGAGAAATAAAAGCAAGAAAATAAATTTTTCAGAAAATATTTATTTACCGAGGAGATCAATTATTTAATACACCATACTCTGGCACGCATCAAAAGATAAATAGAATGTCAATTTCGGTGACTACCCACGTCGATGTCAAACTTATTGATGGGGACAGGGTTGTCTCAATTTTGAAATATCTCGTTTAGAGGAAAATTTGGCAGTTTTCTTAATTTACTCTATTATTCAAAACAAATAGTTAATTTTTTTCTTAAGACATTGCATTTGCGGCCTTTGTACTGGGAATTGTTCCTCGCCTGTGATATCGCAATTGCGCAAAGGTCTTCCGTGATTGTTGCATGTAATTCGATCCTTATAAAAGTGAAGAGTCCCCTTCTTCGACAGACGATTTTTTTTTTTTTTTTATTCTTCGCGGCAGTCGTATTTCTGAATTGACGAGACACTTGTAATGATCTTCCGTCTTTAATATCCTTAGTGTGATGTTATTAGGTAGCTATTTTCTCTTTCCTGGTTTTTGTTGGGAATAAAGTAGTTCCCACTTTCGTTTTTCAATGTATGCCAATGAAATACCTTTAAAGACGCTGAATAAAGGCATTTTGACTTTTTTCATGCTGCTGATAATTTAACCGATCTCTGCTCTTCTTTATATTTTTTTATGAAGACTCTGAGTTCCTTGCAGACTCAAAAACACAAAGTTAACTTTCGGAGAAAAAGAAAATAAAAACGATGAGATTGAGTTCAATGAAATTTGAAATGCTGATTTCCTTATCCAAAATCGCTTCGTAAATGATTTATGAAACAACATCAAAAGGCAAAATGTGAATTCATGCCGGCAAAAGAATCGTTAACCATCTAATTACTCGTCGGTACGAAGACTGGAAACATCAGTCTTCTGTTAAACAACAACTACTACTCTTTTCTTCTAAGTATTTTCCCGAAAAGCCGGTCATGCCGAAAAAAGACACGTAAGTGGTAGTTGTTATTCTTTATATCGAAGAAAGCACTAAACTATTAGCTTGCGTAACTGGTGTTTTTTTTTTTTTTTTGCGTTCCAGAGCGATGAAAGTCAAAGCAAAGAAAACGGGCAACAAAGTAACAGCACTCCAAAATAAAAAAGGAGAATTGAAAGAAGAGGTATATAGTCTTAAAATATAAGATGAAGATTACTATCTCCTAAAATAAAACCATTATGTTAGCGAACATCACTCTTTGCGAAATTATTGCCTTTCTTTGTGCACAAATACCATGCATTCAATATCGAGATATGTTTACTTCTCCAGGTGACTTGTCTGAAATTCAGTTTTATTTGATATCAGGTGGTTCACGAAAGACATTAAGCCGACGATCAGTTGAACGGGCTGTTTCTTGTCGTTCGTTCAAAATGGGAAGAGTGGACGCGAAAGCAATTCGATAATTCTGGAGGGAGATACCTGAAGCTCCCATTTTTTTTAAAAATTTTTGTTAAAAAAAAATAAAATGTTCTGTAAATAGAATAAGAAAGATGACAAGATTTGAACTCGGTAAAAAAAGACAGAAAGAGGTTAAAAATATCACAATTAACTTGTGCTATGCAATGTTTAAGGGTTTTTGTTTTAAGAAGGTGACAAGAATACACAATAGGATTTTGCTTGTATCTTTCTTGTTTCACTCCACTGACTTGTCGTACACAACAATCAAGATCTGTGTTTCGGATGAATGCTTATTAGGAATCGACGAATCGACTGAATTGAAAGTTAGGTACAAAACGACCGAATACAGCTTTTCCTTTGTTTTTAAGAGGCCGTGACTGTAAATATCGAGAATTGCTGGCCAGGCTAAAAAAATCGAAAATTCTGATAATTTGCCTGGAAAACTCCTTTAGGGAGATATATTCAAAAAAAATATTTCAAAGCTTGAAAAATAAAATGTGTCCGAGGAAATGGAGAAAAACGAAAACTCGGGTTTTTACCTAATTAATTATGCAAAAAATACAGTAAAATTGAGCAACTTTAGCGTGCTAGTACTAAAGGAGGATGTTTCGTAAGAAATCGGGAGTGTTTTTACTTCAAAGTATAATTAATGTGACTTTTATATGTGGCATTTTAAGGAGCTTTGGTTTAATTTTAAAATTTACATGAT